CTGACGCCTATGAGCGTAGTCGTACCAACTATAACCTTCGGAGAAGGAATGATAAGTTCAATGTAGATCAGAAGGTCTGGCTGAAAACGCACGTTTTGTCCGACAAGAGTCGGGATTTCACGTCAAAATTAGCTCCTAGGTTTTCTGGCCCATATGTTATCACGAAAGTTTTGTCGCCATGGACTTATCGATTATCAGACTCCCAACGCGGTACGGATGCAGGCACTTGGCATGCCAAGGATTTGAAACCTCATCCCTCGGACTAAAACATTTAGTCGAGACTTTTTTTTTTCCCTTTCTTCATTTTAGTTTCTCCGGAAAGGAAGTTATTTGGACGGTATTTTTCCGTGTTTAGGCTTTTCTATGCACTTGGCATAGGGTTAGTATATTTTAGTATGTATGCATACTGTTTTCTTGTTAAAGGTCAAGTATTTTAGAATTTTCTATTATAGATAGTAGTTATATTTATTATGGTTATATACAGATTATCATTAGAGAAAGTTTCGGGGAAACTTTTTTTTTAGTAGGGGGGGTGTGTTACGGTTTCAATTTCATTTTCAACAACAACAATCAAATCTTAATTAATCAAACAATAAATCACCTTAGAATCATTTATTGCCTGAATATAGTTCGCACAGCCTGAGAAAAACATACCAACGAAAATATTAATCATTGTTCTATGACCTCTGAACGACAAGAACTATCACAGAAGCACTCTACATTTATCAGACGGAGGTCGTGGTAGGTTTCCTTGATGGTTTTCTCAGTTTCTATCAACTCTCTTGATCATCTTGTGCAGGATAGCCCATATATCAGAAGTCGAGAACCAACCTAAAACATGAAGATACTTCATTAATATCGACTCTACAATATAGGAATTATTAAGAAATATACTAATACATATCAGAAACCCACCTGAGGTCTATCCACTCCTAGTCTTCTGAAATCGAGTTCAAGTTTGATGTAGATATTATTTAGGTCATCGTAAAAATTGTAAACAGTCGAAAATCAACATTGCGTTAGTATAACCTCGCAGGTCTTGAGACATCTCATACAACCAACATACAATAACCAACTTCTCACTCCTCCATTCGCAGCCACCGATGTTGACCGACAGCTCGATCACAAACTTCGGGCGGGACGAACTGACGGACGGAACCTCAGATCATAACGAGCGGAGGCGTGACATTTCGACTCTCGGGCCGTACTTCGAATGAACCAGGACCGCACGTAGGCACAACTCTATCTCTGTCTCCTTGTCTGCAGCATTGGACTCTGGAGGACGGATATATATATATAGTCAAATGAAGAGTACCTACTCTAGGGTGGAAAAGTTGGTCAGATCTAGGTTATATCTTTATTAATTACGATTTTCGCGGTAAAATCGACGGGAACCGAAGAATATCGGCCGACATCTTGCCATCAGGCATTCACACCTTGGCATCACGAGGAGAACTTTTGCTTTCAGAGCAATTCCTCTATTCAATTTAAAAAAAAGGCCGAACAACATCTAAGGTATGTAATATCAAAAATCACATTAAAATATCAAACTAATTATTCCATCTTCAATCTCGGCTCAATTCTTGGTCTTGCGCCCCCACGTGGCTGATAAGTTGTAATTTTCAGGCCTTCTAGTACCTCTCTGAGATTCGAGAACATTATCGATACCATACACCATACAATGAAAGAATTCGATTCATGAGTATTTCTGAAGAGTAGTCGACATTCACCTGAGCCCTTCTCCATTTCACGTCGAGAGAGCACATTCGTGGCCCCCATTACACCTTCGGTACTCCAACAGGCTTTAACGACATCGAGGCCACCCTGAAGTCTCGACTGCTGCACTCCAGGTATCATAGGGGTCTCAAACGTACCTCGCACTACCAGTACCATCAGGTAACCTTGAATGTAAGATTAGGACCTCGCATAGCGGCACATCAGGTCCCAATAGTGGCAGTTAACGTTCCTGAGGTTGGTCACCCAGGCACTACAACTTCACCACAATATTATTTTTATGGAAACTAGAAAGCTCGTTGTACTGTACAAATTCGTGTGATGCTTATATTTGTTATTTTCGTTCTAATCGTTGGTATTTGTATTGGTTTATACCTCTGCCTCCACTATCTCCTTGTACCTACACCTTGGATGATGAACCTGTGAACTTCCAGTAGCGCTACTGAGGGGCCCCATATCACTAGTAGAAATACAATTGTCAGGTGGTAGGACAGGTAAACTTATACATATATACCTTGTTTGTTTTTAAAGTCCTTATTGTTTATTTTTGCCATTGATCTTTATACATTCATGCACTCACTATAATCTGCACATTTATAGGTGGTATATTGGTATATACACTGGTTGATATTTCCAAATGTCAAGTATTCCACACAAGATAATGCTGTGTTGATTATTTAGTTCGTTGAGTATCAAGTAGTAGGCAGGACCATTACTTTGGTGAACTAAAATTTTGTGATAATAGTGTCTTATGCCAGTTGCATTAGTACTGATGAACTAAGATTTTGTGATAATATTCTGGTAATTTACTGGTTAGTTACTAGATAGTTGTTGAAATAAGATAATAAAATGAGATATTAATCTTGGGATAATATTTCATCAGTTGAAACGGTTAGTTAATATCAGTTATTTATTTCTTATATAGTAGGGTCTCTTGATGGACTAACATTTCGTGATAATAAGGATAAGGAATCAATCTTTGCAGTTTAGTACACAAGTTATTATTAAAGATTCATCTTACTAGGTGCCTTGTACTATTAATTACTTATATATTATATGTTTACTATTATTTTATATTTCCATAATATATTTGTCATATGATACACCAGCTAGTATCATTTCATGCGAGTTTGTCCTACCAAGGTTTACTATACAGGGTGAGCATTCCACTCCCAATCTACACTGAGCTAGCCAACCTCTAAACATATAGGTATAACTTATGACAAATTTGGCATGAGTCACCCCGAATCGCCACAGATTTCAATCTGAACGTGGCAGACTGCCTAGAGCTTTCCGGAGGAGCCATTTGTATTTGTAATTTGTTATGTAGGTAATTCTTGCACGTTACACTACATAAAAAAACTAACCTTTTTTCACTTTTTAGTGAACTCCCCGCCAAAAAAGTAAGGTTATGTTCCTCGTGCCAGCGTGCCCTAGCGAATTTCGATGAAATTGCGAAGATTCGAACTGCCTCGTCGCCAACTGTTGTAATTGCTGTAACTACGTTTGGTAATTAATGAAGTAATGATAATACTTTCATACTTTTATTTCACATACCCATTATACATTGGGAAGCTCTATTTATCTGGTTGCTCATGGCACATACCAATCAAGAAGAAGGCTGTCATAATTGCACTCACCTTATATACTGACTTTAGACTTATGACATATGTATGATAGACTTGACATATTGACATGCATGATATATCAGTGGTGTACATTATGAAACTCATAACCGTTGGGTAAGTATATAACACTAATAACGCAAGCCAGTTACGGACTCAGACTACTGTTTGAATTCGCTACTATTTCGAGCCCCAAAACTTCCATACTTACTATGTTTAGTATTCGTGTGGTATCAACTGACATTCGTTGGCAGCCATTTCCCATTCACGACACAAACACCTAACATCATCGATATCGAATTTTTTTCATGAGAGAAACTATTACCCTAATAGCACACAACGTCCTAGGGACGTCCGTATCTGGTACAATTCACGTCCGAATGTCCCGAACCAAAAATAAATGTCCTTGGGACGTGCCATCCCGTACATCTCATGCAATGTCCGAGCAAGGACGTCCACGGAATGTCCCAGCTGGTATGTACATCATTTCAAATGTCCTAAAAAATAGCATCCCTCAGACGTCCCACGTGTTACATATTGTAGAATGTCCATGCAAGGACGTCCTTGGCATGTCCCTGATGGGATATGATTTCAAACGTTCCTTTAGGGACATCCATCGGATGTCCCGAGTAGTACATATTCTGGCATGACATCAGATCTTATATAATGTCCCTTCTAGACAACAATGAAATATCCCTTCAAATATCTCTGCACAGACGCCTCTAATATTTCCAAGATCGTATAACAATCGAAATGTTCCTTAGGGACAACCTTCGAATGTCCCTTAGGGATATCCGTCGGATGTCCCAATTGGTACATGAACTTCACTCTCCCAATGTCCTAGACATAACGTCGTATGGACGTCCCAGTCGATACTTTCAATATGTTGTCCCTGCGAGGACGTTAACTTACCATTCGCCGACGAATGATTGCTCGTAGGCAATAAGTACTCTTCGTCAATGTCCTTCACGAAAGTCCATTGGACATCCTTGGGAAACTTTTTGGGGATCTTCTACGAACCATCAACTCATCTGGATGTCCTAATCAGTTATGCAAGATCTGGTCCCAGAGGGACCCAGAAAAATTCAAATTCAAGAATAATCCGTACGTCCCTGGGACATCCTATGGACATCCAATTGATATTCCTCAGCGTTGTCCTAAGAATGTCCTCTGTAGAGCTTGATGAGGAATACTGTAGGATTTGATATAATCATCTCAATCAACTGAATCGTTCATAAAAGCAGATATTGTATTATAGGAACAAAATTGTCTTTGTTCATTCAACCAATTCCTGCTTTTAATTTGAATCATTAATGAGTTACATCAAATCAATTTTGAATTGAAAACTGACAAAAAACATTTGTTGCGGTGACAAAATATTTTGCCGTGGATGTATGACACTCAGATTTTGTTGAATCTACAAAAATTTTGTAGTTTCAAACAAAAAATGTTTTTTGTGTACTAATTCTCGTTTGACGAGAGAAACTCCTCGAGTATTGAATACATATACATATTCCCCTTTGAGTTTATGCAATGACATGAAATTATTTTACGGAATCGTAATCATATCCTATGAAGTAGGATACGTCTTGATAAACGTGTAGTTATTTGAGATGGAATTATTTCAAACAGAAATCTATTGGAGCAAGTTTTATTGTTCAAAATCAATCTGATTTATTCGTGGATACACTGGTTCCATTCTCCTCCTTTATCTTGACGCCCGGCGATTTCCTTAGTTGGGGAAGCCACATTTTCTGAAGCGTTATTCCTGGTTCTTCAACAAGCAGAGTCATAGCACCTCCAAATACGAAACTTATCATGACAGCAACTATGTAGTCGAATACCTAAAACCAGTGATATATCAAGGCCATCCAGGGGAAAGAATGAGACTGTTGAACTTTGTTCTCAGAGTCTTCATCCGATTTCAAGGTGGAATATCAAAGAATATAAGTGAATGATTTCGAAATTCAGGTGGTCAGAAAAACAAGGATTATGATATAATATTATTTTTGAACCCTGCGATATTGACGCGAGGTCTTCGAATTTCTTGTTCATTTTGTCTTTCTTCTAGAGGAAGACGTTTACTCTGAGCAGAGATTATACACAGGAATTCCGACTAAGGTCCGATTGGATTGGATGTGAATTCATACAATTTCAGAACTTCCTGAACTTCTCTCGTCCATGAAAATAAATTGCGTGCCTGAAGAACTGTACCAGTACTCGGATAGATCTTCACTTTCTGTTTCAGTCTTCAATTCTTCAATAATATAGGCGTTTCCAATTGTGGTGAGCTGTCATTCTACAAATCACTCCTAAAATTATATACAGGGTGGATACCGCAACTGGAATATATTCGCTAGTGAGGAGGTGAACATTTTCTTTAAACTTTTCGAGAACTCCAACAAACTATTTCATGAGTATTTTCCATCATTTGAAACTTTCTATGGAAATATACCTGTTTTTATATAATTCTTGTTCTTAAATACGTAGGCTCGTCCGCTTTAGTGTTGAAGACAAACGCCTGAAGTTGTTGCGGTCGTGTGTATACAATGTTTTTCTTCGTGTTTTCTTCAGACACGTAAATAGACAGATACCTATGTTTCTGATGAGTTTCAGTAGGGCTCAATGATTAATTTTAGATGGATCACTATTCATAAACCGACATTCGGAGAATCTCTAGATATTCGTGAAAAAATAATTGAATTTGTCGTTTAGTTGGATAGTGGGATGATTGGGATGTTTGATATATCTCAGACAGGATCAATTTTAGCAACGTCCTACGTAATTTTGCACATTGAAAAGAAATCCGAAATTCGAGTCCTTCGATCTTTTTCTGACTCAACCGCCTTGTCATTGGCGAAAAAAGCAACAGAACAACGAAACGAAGCAGTGACGAATAATAATCCTAATCAATACTACATCATTCAGTCGGATTGTTTGAAATATCATGACTGATGACCAAGATGGCGAGAGAAACATTTGAGATGAACACCTTGTATGAAGCTATGAGGTAAGAGATTCGAAATTCGTCTTCCCTCATATATCAATATATGAATGTGCCAATCCCGTGATAAGAATTACTTTTAGTTTGCTTCTGGCTTTATCAGAATTCGATCGAATTTGGATTTCAATCCATAACACTTTGCCAAAAAGAACGTGTGTTCCTCCTGGACTAACTGTTCGATTCAGATGTTCGAGTGCTCATTCTTCTCAGAAATCAATGATCTAAAATTGTATCGGTCCTTATTGGAAGAATAAAGTTTTTCTATTCGCCAGAGATTTTTGAAAATCACAAAAATTCTGGATTCTTTACCATTTTGTTTCTTTTAATTATTGGATTTTCAAATCTCCCATTATGTACTACAGTTCTTTATCTTTGAAATAACTTCAAGAAATTCAAATTCGATTGAATTTTCATGGAGCCTGAAGCAAAATAATAATACTGGTTTATACGAGATTCGCACATTCACTCCATAACAAATTGCAAAGAAATGAGTGTATCTACTGGACTATTCGTTTGATCTCGATGTTCGAGTACTCATTCTCTTCAGAAATTAATAGCCTAAGATGACATCGATACAGGTTGGAAAAAATCTGATTTTCTTTTTCTCCAGCGGTTTTAGTAAATGACAATACTTTGGTAGAATTCACCATTTCGTTTCTGTTCATTATGGAATTTTCAGATATTCCACTGTATACTATAGCCCTTTAGCTATGAAACGACGCCAAAAAATTCGAATTCGTTTGAGAAATGATGAAACCACGAGGAAAATAAAAACTTCCGTTTTTTTGTGACCACCCGATATATTGGTAAATATGTCTATGTGACTCACGATTCTAGAATATCCTATCCTCAATGGATAATTAGTGAGAGCTGTCTGATAAACAACTGCTGGTAGTTGAAAGAGGTAGAGGCAGTATGAAAAATTTCCTACGATCACTGCGACCTCCCATTCACATATTCGTTTGACAATTCCTGAAATATAAAAAAAATCAATACATAGTATTCTTCCTACCGTTCTCGGAACAAAAATTGTAATAATACGCTCAGGTATACAGAGTGACCCACTTCTAATGGAAACACCCCTGTATCTTTGGGTAAGGATCCTGAAATCTGCTGGAGCGAGAGATATACCAAAAATGCACTATATAACAAGTAAGGTCATCTTCAGTGATACACACTGCTCGCCAACTGATTCGGAATCAGGACGCCCAATTCACTAACTATTCAAAGTTTTCCTAGAAAACTTTCAGTTCAGTAAAATTAAATTTTGTCTCACTTCCTATGGAAGCACCTCCGTATCTCACGTAATTATTGAGGTAGGGTTCTGAAATTTGCAGGAGGAAGGGAAAGTCCAGAGATGAAGTCAATTACGAAAGATACGGGGGTTCTTCCGTGAAAAGTGCAACGAAATGTAATTCTTCAGAACTGGAAAATTTCCAGGAAAAATATGAATAGGAAGTGAATTGGGCGTCCTGATTCCGAATCTGAAGTGATTTTCGACCTATTTTGACTCCTGATATCATTTTCCGAAAATTGAAGATGACCCCACTTGGTCATAGAGTGCATTTTTGGTATATCTCTCGCTCCAGCATATTTCAGGATCCTTTCGCAGATAACGTGAGATACAGGGGTGTTTCCATCAGAAGTGGGTCACACTGTATATGTTCTGAGTAAAAGCTTCCAATTCAAAAAAAAATGTTATGGATAAACATCTATTGTGACCAATGTGACTGATAACTCTGGAATTTCACAAAAAATCACCATTGTCTTTGTCTGACTGTTTTGTTCAAATTCTCTGGTTTCTCGAGATCATTGTTTAGTTTCTCGAACATAACTTCTGGCAAAAGCTGCAAATCTAACGAAATTTGGTATGGATAATGCACTCGGAATTTTGTTCTAAAATTTGTTCTATCCGTCATTCGGTTGCCCCCTTACGAGCAACCCTCAAAAGTCTTCGAAAGTCTTGTGCGAGCAAGGAATGACGGGGGCCTTACCTTTTAACGTGTGATCCCAAACACTTTCTTGGGCCATCAGAAAAATTTCTGCAGTCGACGGGGATCGAACCCACGACCGGCGAGCGAATGCGAATTAGAATATAGACACTCTGTCCGCACGGCTACCTGGCCACAGTGGGCAATGCAATGAAATTATTTCGATAAAGTAATCACACAGCACAAAATCGCTCTTGTTTCACTGTTTTCGATACATCAATGAGGTATTTTTCATGCCGAATGCCCAGATGACAGGAGTACCTATGTCGACAAATCAAAATTCTCATATGTCATGTCAGTTCGTTCTAGTTTCAGTTTTATTATAGAGAAATGAAAATTATGTATATATAAAGAATAGCTGAAAGAATAACTGGACTTCAGGTTACTGATGATGAGGATTTGATATCCGAAATGATTTTATTCGAGTGGAGTCATATAACCTGTTTGTGAGAGATATAATTCCCATATCACTTCTCATTTACATTTCAATTATCATTTCAATACTGAACATATTGGTAAGTTATATTTTTATATCATAATACATCATATATTTTTATCCGATCTGAGAGATGATATCACTTCTTAATTTCAAAGGAATTTCATTTTTCATGCTCTCTTTTTAGATGTTCGGACAATGTTCGACGAGGCAAATAGCCAGAAAAGTAGTTGGTTTTTTTTTGTTCGAATTGACTCGGCCGTCACTTGATGCATCTTGATGGAAATCTATGACGAATGTAAAAACTTCAGCAAATAATATTTGCTATCAACCCTTTCAAGTTAATCCGGTATACCGTAATTTTTTTATTTTTTTTTATTTTTATTTTACAGAAACAGGTTGCCTAACAGATTTTACAATCCTATTATAAGGCAACACTAAAGTACATTGAATAATAATAATACATTTTTCGAGTAAACTCACAGTAAACTAATCCATCCTAAACTAAATATCTAACCAACCCTGGAAAATTTATTTTATGATGTACAAGTGTATGAATTATCATTATTATCCAAATTAGAAGTACCATTCTTTGGTAAGGTCATATTACTTAAAACTAAAATATTTCAACATACAAAATTACTGGTGATATATAAGAACATAAATACAAATCAAAGTGGAATCTATATGAGATTCAGTTTCCGGTTATTCTGCTATTTAACATAAGTTTAAATGATCTGAAGCATAATCGATAGATATCAACTTCGTAATCGTTGGACATGGAAATATTGTTATAGGAGAGGGCACATCTACACAAAGGTGCGTTTTGCATATAATTAGATCTATACGTTTTTATAGCAAAAATATTTCTTCTGCGATGAATGTAAGGATTACAGTTTATGTTAAAGAATTGAAGGCAGTATTCAGAGTCAACAAGGTTGTTGAAGACTTTGAAGACAAAACAAATATCATAATATGTTCTACGGTCAGCTATTGAGGACAAGTTATAAAATTTAAGATTGGATGTATAAGAATATTGGTGGCGTTGTCGGTTGAACTTATAGTTAATGAAGTTAATTAGCTTTTTCTGAACTCGCTCAATGCGCGTTGTATACTTCAAATAAAACGGGTTCCATACTACTGAGGAAAATTCAATAATTGGTCTGTTATGTTGAATAATTTAATGATTGATGAGAGATTTTTGAATTCTCTTGTTGTCCTAAAAATGAAACCCAAATTTCTCATGGCTTTTCGAGCAATATAATGTAGATAGTGTGCCTAATTTCCGAAAATGGAGGATTATCGATCCTGTCCACAGGTAATCAATCCTTCAAGTTGGGAAAGTAGGATATATAAAAGTTAAGCAAGCCAACGTTGGTTTAGTTCATTGTACCAGTATATCACCTGACGAAGCTACTGTTTTAGCGAAACATGTTGTGTGTATAAGAATTTCGTGGAAATCTTATCGTTTGTGAAGTTTTCACATTATAGTTGTTTTCTGTTGAATATCCAGAATGATATTATGTGCATATCTTCATTTATATGAAGGAGAATGCAAATTATCTACTTCAGAAGATTTTGTTCTCAAATTCTCATCGTGTGTGTTCGATAGATGTGATTCAATGTTCGTCGTGGCATATAGCCAGGAAAGTAGTTGGATGAATCGATAAAGAATTGATATTTCCATCCCATAGAGTATGCGAATTCTCAATGTATTTCTATCCATTCTTTCATGTTCATAATTATATCTGAGAGCATTTCTTTTCAATATCAATGAGGTACTTTGTATGTTATCAATTTCATCTCTGTATCTGATATTATGGTGGCTCAATTGTGTTATTAGTTCAAAAAAAATCTTATCACCCATGTAATGTGAAATTTCAAGCAATGACAGCTCTGTCCAATAGATGAGCATTACTTGAGAGGAAATCAGATGGCTATAAGACGAAGACATCAAAATTGTCGCTGTTATATGGTGCATCCGTAGAAAACTTTCAGTGTATAACTCGCACGGAATGCTAATTTCACACTCGAATGATTGCAGCATTCGCTCACTCAATCAGTAATTTCATAAATTTCTCTTCATATTGAATATTGACATTCATCTCATTGATTGTTTTTTTTTGGGGGAATTGAACAAGGATTTCAGACGATTCATAAAAGAGGCAGACAAAGACGATGGTGTAAAACATTTCACATACATTCAGGATAATCTCATAACAAGACACTGATATAGTATGTCACATTTGCATAACAGGTGTCTCACTGGATAACTCTCGTCAAGTAGAGTATTCATAAATAATTTTGTTGAATTCGCAGCTGTTCCTGGAATGTATTGTGTTAGAATAAATAAATTATATCATATAAACATACAACCTATTTGTGATGAATCTTTCAAATAAAAAATATGAGAGAATTCAATGTTCTATCCGAAACACATTTTATATAATAATTTTACCTCCTATTCCATGGGACATTCCCAAAATCCCAACGCCAATACCTGTTACGAACAGAGGCTTCACTATTGGTCCTAATATAATAGCTGAAAGTCCTCTGGCCTCGTTACTTGCTAACAAAACAGCCAATGTAGGTAATCCAAAAAATAGTGAGGCCCATAAGCATTGTAGTTTCTGAATTGAGAGAAAAAATGTGTCATCGAAACAATAGTCCATAGCCACAGACGAATGAATATTTTCTCCACCACGAGGAAATCATTTCGAGAAAGAAGCTAGGACTACAGACTCGTTCGAAAAAATGTTGCGGGCGTTATAATTCGAAGTTAGATGACCCTATTTCCTCAATTGAGAATAGCAAAATAAAAATTAAAAACGATTCTTCTCAGGATATCCCTCGAAAATGTACTGTTTGGCGAAAATGAAATGTATTCAGTACTCTTTCAGTCTCACCAAAATTTTAAATTCTGAAATTTTTGAACTGTTTCATCAAAAATATTCGGAAAAAACTAGGTAAATTATTTGAACAAATATATAATATCTCGTATAATATCAAGATATGGAAATACTTGAGCAGACTTACGTCATCTCACTCTCAATGAACTTTATCAGGACCAATTTTTTCAATAGCGGAGAAGAAAATATCGTAGGAGGATGTCAAATAACACGAAATGAGAAGTATATTTTTTCATCAGTTCTACCAATCCTCACGTTTCTCTATCATCTCAAATGATGAGAGGGCTAAACAAGTTATTACCTGTCAACCGACAACACTGCATTTCTCAACATAATGATGCCACTCTCAACTTAGAGTTGATAGTTATTCATGTATCAAGGGCGTAAAATACAAGGCTATTTAACTCTATAAGGTTGCCTCTTATTGACCTGGCCTGACGTCACTGTTTCCCCATCGTCTTTTGTCGAACGGCAAAATGAAAATGGCGGCGGTGAAAAACAAAACAAACAAATTTAGCATTGTGCAATCAAGTAAATTTTGATAAATTTCGAAGTTTTCCAATCTGTTTTTGTATACACGAGATTGTTCACTGTTTTCCCAAAACATGCAGCAAGTACAAAAGACTGAAAACAGAAATCTAGAAAGATATGTTCCTCAGTGCTCCTGTTGTACAGACACATTACAGAAAGTCAGATTCTTATTGCAATATTCCTCCATCAGGACTGATTTCTGTTGGCATTTAAGGATATGGAGGTTGAGCTACTGATGAAGCATTTTTTAATAAGGAAAATGTTATTGGGAACTTGGGAAGTCTGAACCTAATGATGGAATCATGGTGGATAATGGCATGCTGACAAGGGATGTGAAGAAAAATGCTTGAAATTGATGAGGCCATCATTTCTGAGAAACAAGAAACAATTGACTGAAGAGGATTTCCTTCTGGATAAATTGAATGATTCTAAAACTCAATGGTTTTATTTCAGTATCAATTTGGAACATTATTGTTTGAAAATTAAATAATAAGGAAATGAATCAATAAAGAAGTCATCACAATTAATTCAATTTTATTAATGCAATAAAAGTGCAACATAATGAAAATATCTTCAAGATATCTTCCTCAGATTAACACAAAATTTTTCATAAAATTAACTGAAATTTGTATGTAAGTTCTGGAGAAAGAATTATACAAGAAAATTAGTTTCTTTCAAGTTCATTAGGGACATTTTAGGACCATTATTCCCAGCTGAATTTATCCATAATAAGTGTGTCTTTCCTCCAACTTCACAATCTCTATACCATCTCTTATCAAGAAATGGCATTGTTCCACAAAATGTTCTGGACCTTTACCTAAAATTTTGAGAAAACAATTCAAGCTGAATGTCTTACACATTATTTAACAAACCTCTATGTGAGGACCTCAGTAAGGACACTTCTTTCAATTATTTCCATGGTCTTCCTTCCCGAAAAATAATTTCATATGGAGATTATCCTAACCATGAAAAATATTGGGACACAAATTTGTTTGCCTGATTTGAAATTCAATATTATTCTCAATGAACATTTTGAAAGAGCTTTGGATTCATATATTCAACTCCATGCTGAACAAATTCATTTGAAAAATCCTTTGGAAAGAAAGAAGTTGATTGCCTTTTTTCCCAAGTCTCCTTGCTACATGTAAAAATGGAGTAGCAAGTATAGCCCAAAATAATTCAAAATTAATGAAAGTATACAGTTTTAAACTCACCTGTGTTCCTGAGTACCATGCAATAGCTATAGTTGTTTACATTGAGTTCATTGGCTTCCAAACAGAAAACAAAACAGTCTGATATACCCTGTAAAATTAACTTGAATTATATAAAAGGAGAATGATTTTAGGGGGTCACTTTCCTTTTTTTATTAAGTGGGTAGCAGAACTATTGAAATAGTTTTGCTGTATAATAGATCTTTGATTGATCTACTCTCTTTTTTATTTTCACCACTCCTGTGTGTTATATATGCAGCTTCACATATTCCAAGTCTTCATTCCTGAAATTTCATGTATTTACCTGTGTGTGATAGATCAAAAGTGCACCTTCCTACCTGTCAATATAAGTCCCTATAAAATGTGTTTACAATACCATGACATGCCTGCTTCACAGGGACATTTTACATTGCCACAGCTCATCATTTTCCTTTGGAATTATTTGAATCTCATGTGGAGGCTGCCCAAGAGCAGATGTTTGTAAACACAGGAATTTTATAACATTTGTTCGTTCTATAAATGTTCTATATCCACTCTTGATTCCAATATTATATGATGTGACCAGCCTTGAATAATACTACACCATATTATTATACAACCTCTCACCCTCTTTCAAAGATATCTTCAGTCTTCTTGTCACCATATTTTCAACTAAAGTCTTAAAATTCGCGATTCTTTCAAATTCAAATTCAAAAATTTTGATTTTCTCAATCCATTTGACAGTGACACAAAACGAAATCTACAATCACGTGGCGGGGAAACAGTGACGTCACGCCCCTCCGCTCACCCCCGCACCATAATGCTATACTATGAGGTAACCTTATAGAAGTTAATAGACCTTGCGTAAAATAGGCTTTATGGACCGTGTAGCGTGAAAGTTAGAGCCCGAGCGACAGCAAGGGCTATCAACACGTCTAGGTCCATAAAAGTGAGTTGCCCCCGAAATACATACAATATACAATGCATGAGCGATATATTCGCTTTTTCATTGCAAATTCCTCTACACCTCTCAAGAACGATAGAAATACATCATGGCTGCAGAGAGGAATATCATTAATGGAATAGACGATACCATGGTATCTCAGTCAAATTTTTTTTATAGGTTATCACAACTAACTTATTTTCATCACATCAAGAGAACTGTAATACTAGACAAGGGACTATGATGACTGAAACATGAATGTCCTGAATTATACAGGAATGCCTATTTCGCCGGGCGATGAATTAGTCCGCGGGCGGTAAATTATTGCTATACTTTACGCCCGGTCGTGCATAAAAAGTTAATATTCCTATCTATCCTAGCCTATCGAATTAATCATTCATAAAAATACTCACCCACTTTATATTGAATTGTTGGTGTTTATTTCTGAAATATATCACTCCAAAGATTACTCCTACAAAGCTTGCATTCATCATCGAATATGTAGAGGAGTAAGAAACAATAAACGAAAATGAATTCAGGAATTTTCTGAGCTCGATATTCCTAAAAAAATGGAAAAGGAAAGTTATTTTCTAGAATGGTATTATGCAATGCCAATAAATGAAATATATAGGGTTATGTCTACTTTCATTTGAATAAAACACCCTGACAAGAGAATTTGTAGTTGTATATAGTGTGGTTGTATTCTTTTGACAACTTCTTCAATTCAAAATATGTTTCTCCAGTTTTGACGTAATCGATATGATATTGTGATTCAATGGACGATCATATAATATAATTCTATGTGCCCATGTTTTTATACAGGGTGTCCGTTTTTCGAGTTCCACCATGGGGGTCCCAGTTATTATAAGAGATACAAGGTTACGGTAAAATTAGGGCAAAGTTGCCCATTTTTATGCTGAACATATAATTATCTACAAGAAAATTTGATGTGTCATTTCTATTCTCTGAATGATTGGGAAAAACGAAAATTTCTGATTGTCGATCTTATTTTTCAAGCGAAAACTAAAAAACCTAGACGTTTCTGACTAGGAAATTCTTGAGGCACTTCTTTACAAGGAATCTGAACCTGTCATTGTATTTTTCATGACGTTTTTTATGCCAAAGTTACAACACAGAACTTGGTTTTCTTCATGGACGCCATATTAGATATTTGCATTTCTGAAAAAGTATTCCTTCTTCTGATCACAATGATGTGTCACACGATATGATCGAATCTTTCCTGTTGATGAAAATTGGGAAAATAACATTTTTGCGAAGAGTGCTTTGGAAAGAACGCCAACAGTTTTGTTTAACAAGATGAATTTCGACAGTTTATTTGAATTTGGATTTGCACCGTTCACATTTTTGTCGAGCTCATCTATTTGAAAACTTTGGTTTTCAATTAGGAACGACATAAGGAGCGAGGAGTTTCCTCTTCGCAAAAAAAACAGAACAAAATTATGAACAATCTTCGAATACTCCACAATTTTACACGTTTCCTCAGATTCTGAATTGCTTTCGAGATGTCCTGAAAGTGGTGATTATGGTTCTTCCCTAGCTCATCAATATCGATAGATACAGTTTTAAAAATCGAATCTTTCATAGTTCCCAATGAATAATAATCCAGCGGAGAGAGATCAGATGACAGCACTGGCCAACGTATGTCTCCGTTGTTGGAAATTACCTTGTCAGGAAAGATATCTGACAGACACGCGGCAACCCTGCTCGCATGTGGATGAGCTTGAGAATTCAACAGTTCTGTTCGCATATTCAATTGAACTGTCAAAATTCAGTTTGTTAAACAAAACTGTTGACGTTTCTTTCAAAGCACTCTTCGCAAAAATTCAGTTTTTCTAATTTTGATCAACAGGAGAGATTCGATCTTATCGTTTGACACATCATTTCAATCCGAAAAAAAAACTTTACGAAAATGCAAGAATCCAATATGGCGCCCATAAGAATAATAAAGTTGTGAGTTGTAACTTTGGCATCAAGAACGTCATGGAAAATACAATGACAGATTCAAATTCCTTGTAAAAATGTGCCTTGATAATGTCCCTGTCAGAAACGTCTAGGTTTTTCAGTTTCCGCTCGAGAAATAAATAAGAAAATTATGAATGAAAATGCGCAACTTTGTCCTAATTCAACCGCTCGAAAAATTAAAAACGAAAATTACAAATTTACGTTTTCTTCAAATAATTCAAAATCTGAAAATGACACATGAAATCTTCTTAACGCCCTGCGTTAATTTAGAGTGTGAGTTAAACAAATATTGATTTTTTTTTTCATTATTATTTTTCTTTTGGTTTGTTTATCGAAATCACGTGGCATATCGATTTTCATTTGGGGTTAAAATATCAATTCATTCGCACTGAGAATAGTCAATGAAAGAATACTCTCATTCTGCATCATATTCATCCTCCCTCGTATAGTCAAAATTCGGTCATTTTGTTCGGCCGACCGAGAAGATGCCGATTTGACGGACGTTGAGACATGATCAGTATCAACTCGTGACTCGTAAAATCAATCTCAGTGGAAAACACTCGCGCTCTCTCTCTCTCTCTCTCTTTTTCATCAATTTGACGGTTAGCAACTTCATCGATTGTTCGGGAAATTCGAACCAAATATCAGTGTTTCCAACCAAAACCATACAGTCCACTAGCTCAGAAGAATGGGTGGGAATTGAGATCCCCATGGTCGTGTTCGAAAAACGGGCACCCTGTATAGGAACATTTTCAATAATCATCATTATATCATACGGATCTGAACGATGTATTTCATCTGGATGTCCAATATCAGAAGTCCATTCAATTCATGTCTCCATTTTCAGAAATATTACATAAGTGAGTAAAATGTTGGCTTCGCTCCGCTAGGAGAACGATAATTCATTTTCATCATTATTCTTATTATCACAATATAATCATTCGAACATCAATTCACTTCAGTCACGAATCTGCTGCCCATCAAGCAATTACTGAAACGGACGTTTAGCAATATTGCAAAGGTGATGTTTGAGAATACAGCGTTACTGTGACATTGCTGGAACGTTACATTCACAAATTTACATTAGCAATATTGCTTAACGTCCGTTTCAGTAATTGCTACAACAGAGTTGCTTATTGGGTGCCTCCAGTGCCACGTAATGTCGCACCTAAAGTCGAGCTAGATCTAATCTAGTGAAAACGAGTAACACCACGAATCCGTCAAGACACAGTAGAGAGCTTTACTGTGGTCAAGACGAGTGGTATTACTGTACGGCAACATAATTGACTCAACAACGAGAGCCCTTATTATATGGAGATATTCACAACAGGGTGTTTTTCTGTTAACATGAGAAGCATTTAATATGAATGAATGAGCCATTATGACCAAAGCAATTCAATTTGACATCCATATATAGCTGTAACTAGTTTAGATCAAACTGACCGACATTTCTTTTCTAATCTCAATATGAGTGGAGTAGTCAAGGCAAGCTGAAATTTTGCAGAGTTCCCAGGTGTTCCGAGAGTAGCGTGGATATTGTCTACACGACCGCCGCGGCATAAACAACTGCTGCGGCGGTTGGTTACTGATACATAAACAACCGCCGCGACGATATTCCTTTCTTCTTCATAGAGAGTACTTCCGAGCAAAGCGACAGCTCAGTTGACAGAGTGTACACGGCGGTGACTCGGGTTCCACCCCAGCGAGGCCTAACTTTTTATAAACTTCTCCTCACGAATAATTTTTCGAAAAATATACTTCTTAGGACTCTCAGGCGACTTAGGTTGGTTTGTTTGAAAAAGGTAGTCTCCTTTTTCATGCAGAAACGATATTTTTCTTTCTCATGTTTCACGACAATCTTCTATATAAAAATAGGTAACCGCCGGCGGTTGTTTATGTATCAGTATCCAACTGCCGCGAAGGTTTTCACTGCGTTCTTTCATACAGAAATAGGACAGTCCCCATGTCGTGTACCAACTAGGAAGCCAATCATCAGGACATAGATTGGGTGTGTTTTATTCATGATCATGTTCATGATGGCCATCATTTTCACATAGTCGTCTGGATAAAGTCTGCGAACTTCGAAGAGAATATCTCGATATTCAACCCGCCGTTCCTCCTTGGAAATGACGTTCGGTTCAGATGGCTCAGGAAATGGAATAAGGAGTTCCAATGAATAGATGATGAAAAGATTACGACAAATTGAATTGTAAGTTTTTCCTTACCTGGTGTAGAGCCTGAATATTATATCCATATCATAAATATATATGATTATCGCATAAACAACGGTGGAAAAAGCAACAAGCAATGCCAGTACTTTAGTAAAATTCAGCTTATACTTCAGTATCACATATAGAACTATTATGTTCAGGCAATATAACTGGAAGTCAGCTCCTATATACCAAGAAATCCCATTACACTGAAAATCAATAATTTCATGAGTATAATGTACCTGTACCGGATGTTCCATCAATAAATTTTTTTGTAAGTCAGTTCTATCAAATATTTCCGCCATCGAAAGTGCATATTGAAAAGAGCTGTCATCCGTATTCAAATGAAGTTCTGGTCACATGGATACTTTACTAAGATATGTTCGAGTTCAAGAGTACATCTGGGTTCATTGTTGGGCAATTTGGAATTGACGAGACCAATAGCAGGTGTGATATTTATCAACGATCAATTCGAATTGGTTATTTATCATCGACCAATAATGAAAACATCACACCTTCCATCACTAGCATCGACAAAAATCACGATATCGCCCAGCAATAAAACTAGCACGACTCGCTGATATGGATGCAACTCTGACCTATGAGAGCATCAAAGTATACAGGGTCCGGACGATTTAAAAGGAAGGGACAGTATTGCTATCTCCTAAACGGTGAGAGATAGGAAGTTGATTGAATTAGACAGAAGTTGCATAATTTGACTCGCTGATATGGATGCGCAACTCTGACCTATGGGAGCATCAAAGTATACAGGGTACGGGCGATTTAAAAGGGACAGTATTGCTATCTCCTAAATGGTGAGGACAGGAAGTTGATTGAATTAGACGAAAGTTGCATAATTTGAACCTCATCAATATAACGCTTTGCAAGCTGGACAAATGTCAGCCGTTCCTGAAATCTTTTGATAAAACTGAAAATCACAGAAATCGTTTTTATTTAGTTTCAGCGTTGATATTAGAGGTAAATATTTGAAATTTAGCTTTAATAGGTAACCAATCATGACGAAGACGTTGAAATTGTCAAAAATATTTCATCAACAATATTTTCGAAGATTCACCATGCAACTTTCAGTTTTCTGACAGGCTTCATATTCGTTTTTTATACCATTGTATGGGGCAAATTACTCCCTCCATATTCATGTATTACATATTGACATTATTGCATGAAACAGCACCAAAAACAGTGAAAACCATTTTTTGCTGGTTATCACTGCTTAAAATTGAGCTGCTCTACATTTTCTAATGGAGTTGGCTCATGATGATGAGAAATCGAAATATCAGTCGTCATGACTACAGCATTCATACTTCTCAAGTCATCTATGACACGCTTCTTCAATATGCGAAAAGGAGAATAGGGCAGAAGAAAACCAAGATATCAATGATTTCGTTGAATAAACGAGATACGATTACCTCAAATTCATTTGCTTTGGAATAAAATCTAAAATCATATTCAATGTGTGAGGATGAACAAGTTTATTCACAAACCAATAGAATATTGAGAATGATTCAATGAACCTCGATAAATAATTAATTTTATCATAAAAAATAACTAAACTAAATCTCAACTCAAGACCGAGCTTAACAATGAGCAAAACCCTTCGATAATATTTTGTTTGTTGTTCAAAGTGTCCACTATTATTTTCTATACATTTTTGGGTTCTTAACCGCAACTATTGCAATCGATATCTCTGAAAGCCAATAAAGTAATTTTCTTCCGCAATTCCTCAACGCTATTAACTTCATTGTGGTAAACTTAGAATACTTCTGATAATTTCTACTTCTTTTTCTTGATCGCATACCTAATCAAACAAATTTCAATTTTTTTTATCGAATATTAACTGAGAAAACGATTGAAAACAAAATCAGCGATTTTTAGTAATTACAAAAAATATTTCAGGAACGGATGAATTTTTTTCAGTTTGCGGAACGGCTTATTGACCCATATACTCAACGAAGAAGATGAAAGTATCGAGCGAATTAGGAATGTGATTGAAATCCTACTCGATATTTCAACAGAACTGGAAATTAAGTGCGAAAAAGACTTGAATCCGAGAATAGAACAAGCCTATATGAGATAAGAGTTATGTCTACATTAAAACTCAAATATGATCGATTTTGGTTTCAAACTGCTATTCTGATTTATGTTGAAATCCGTGTGCAAGCTTCCTGGAATAAAAAGTTCATTCAGAACGAGAAGTACCAAACAATTTCTCCAACAGAATCAGGAAAAGAAGACCAACAATCCTAAACATTTTGAGTTTGTGAATACCAAGACGAATTATGCATTTTCGATGAATAATCGTCTGTTTATCTACATATGTATAGTGATGTGAGTGAAAGAACCTAGTATACAGGGTGCCGATCTGAAAAGTTCCTATCCTTGATATCTCTCTTTCAGTGAATGAGATGAAGATCGAAGAGCCAGCTCGATTTCAATCTCAAGAGGGACACTTTATTTAGATTGTTTTAGTCCTCATGTTTCAATCTCTTAGGCTGGGCAGATGCTAACCATAAAATCTCAATTGAGGAAATGGTTCAAGTGGCACATTATTTTGAAGGGCGTTCAATGATCTTTCCAACGCAACCATATTTAAACTTTTTGGATATGCTGTTTTCGAAATATAGCGTTATAAATTTACCAAGTACTTCCACTTCGAAGAGTTCACTTTTTTGAGCAGAAAAATGTGTCACAGATTCAAATAATTTGGTCTTGAGAATTTTGAATTGACTCGGCCGTTACTTGATGGAAATCCATGATAAATGTAAAAACTTCACAAACGATAAGATTTCCACAAAATTTATTAAACACACGACATGTTTCGCTAACACAGTAGCTTCGTCAGGTGATATACTGATACAATGAACAGTTCATTGTACCAGTATATCACCTGACGAAGCTACTGTGTTAGCGAAACATGTCGTGTGTTTAATAAATTTTGTGGAAATCTTATCGTTTGTGGAGTTTTTACATTGGTCTTGAGAACTTTGGATACATTCTTTCTGGCTCAGAATGACCACCACCAAGATGACCGTCTATCACAAAAGGTTCTTAGCTAGCAGCTGCAATTTGATAGATGGCAGCTGACAGATGACAGACGACAGCTGACATGTTGCGAACTACCTCAACCTTCCTAAAACTATAGTCGCATGAACCGGCTCTCAGATGACACACAGCTAATTCAACGCTCGCTACACTGGAGATGGGGTGGTTCGATTAGAAGAAAAGATCATGAATAAGACTTCTCAATTAGGTGGGCGCCGGCAAAAACCCATAGTTCCCAACCAACTCACCAAATTCACCAAAGTTGGTAGATAAACAAGAAGACTAACCTGTTTTGATTATTACAACTTCAGTTTTGTCATAGTAGTGAAATGATTGTACGATACCCTACAGTTTCGGTATCAAGATATACTGATGCTTATTAGCGTAGTATTAGCGAAGTAGCGTACAGTGGTGCTCAAATGAAATGGAAAGAATAATGATCTGATACATTGATCACACATCCTCATTTCAGTACCTATAGAGTACAACCTATAATTGAGGTGAAATGGTTAACCAAGCATTATGCATAAGCGCTGGTTCCCTCAAATATGTTGAAAGTAAAATGAGATGTGTGGAATTAGAGGAAAATTCAATAAAAAGTGATGACGCATTGCATTGAATCAGTATGATATTGAAACAAATTTTAGGATAAGTTTCCCGTGAAAACTTGCGTGCAAATCCCACGACGAAGTCAAATGTCTACAAGTCAGTTGCAGGCTGCCCGAAAAGTTGATGATGTCTGCGACTAGCAGATACCTAATGGTAACCGTGGTCAAAGCTTGACTGAGATCGAAGATGGATCAAAATCAAAAAAGTTAGACCTAGGCCAAGTAACCAGGAATCTCAAGCCTATAGTTTTGAGCACCAAGCATGCCGTGATATATGAGCAGACATATACAGAAAAACCCTGTGGAGGAATAACCCGAATTACTTGTCATCAACAAACAAACTGTAATTGGAATAAAGCTTGTCTCCTGGAATGGATCTACCAGCCCCAGGTATACATAGACGGCACTGAGGTATAAGTTATGACCAGGAATGTTCATACAACTCTCAGTGTTTACTCTAATTTTCAGTCACTGAAGTTCCCAAAAACATGAGCAGTGGGCCAATCATTCCAACAGGTGAGAGAACTGGATGAAATATCTCTGATAAACAAGTGATGTAATTTACATCTTATGAATTCCAGTACCTAATGAAGTATCAAGTAGACCTCTTCCTGATTACGTGTGAACTTGAAGTTGTTTGGTCACGGCCACTCTAGTAGCATGTGATTCCATCTGTCCGTTATAAATTGGGTTTTATCAGTGTTAAAATATTGATAAAGTACTAAAATAAGTTGCACAAGTGAAGTCAAGCCAGTCAAGGTAGTGTGTACACAATACAAGTATCAATCAGCATCTCTGGAACTATTACCTTCGTATTATTGATAAGTCGCGTGAGTTTTGGGTTCGAGCGGTCGAAATTACTTTTTAAAAATGAGCTGAACTTGAGTCAAAAAATGATGTTCTCGGGTTGAGGCTCATTCAGTAACTGATTTATTTTCTATTAGAATTCAACATACAATATTCAGAGGCAAACTGCAAGTTTGCAAATGACTAACAATATTGAGATAATTAATACAATGGAGTGGTTGTCTAGTGCCACCATAACTCCTCCCTGTTTAAATGGAAAATCCGGGGTTGGATGAAGGATTTACCATCTCGGATTCTTGGGGTAGTTTTCTTGATCGGGTCCTCTGCTGTAGCTTCTTCTTGAAGTACTTGAAGGCGACGAAACTGATTAAAGTGACAACCAAAATATACATAATTAATGTCCATATGCTAATATTTTTGGCTATCACGGGAATTTCCATAACATTCAGTTTTTCGTTCTGAATGTCTAATTTACTTCTGATATGATCCAATTCATCTAAGTTGATGGAATCCATCTTCAATGGTTTGAAATTTATACTCGATTCTTCAGTGGCGTGGAAATCTTCTTTTATTTCGGGTAAATTTATTACATTGACTTGCCTTTGGGAACTGTGGTAATTTCTGATCTGGATGTCTTCAATTCTGATCTGACACTCAGGATTCAATTCTAATAGGTATGTTCCTTCCAATGGGACGTTATCTTTATTCTTATCACATTGTTGTTGCGCTACTGC